TTCTTTTCTTTGATTCCCTTTCTTTGTTCCCCGCTTTTCCTTACATTTACACTTTTTAAACATGTTTCTTAACATCCGATTTTATTTTTTGCTTATATTTTTCTCTTATTCTTTTACTTCTATGAGGAAATTTTTTCTTCTCTAATTTCTTTCATTGATCTTCAGTTTTATTTTTTCTTTCATTATTCTGTTCTTTTTCTAATTTTGTTAGCTTTTTGGGGGGTATTTTTGTGTTTTTTGTACAGCTTCTACCTTTTGTACTTTCTCTGTCATCCTCATCTCTTTTCTCCCTCTCTCCCTATCTTCCACTTCTCTCTCTCCCTAATCTTTTTCTCTTTCCCTTTCTCTCGTTTCTTCTCTTTCGAGATCTCTCCTTTTCCTTCTCTCTCTAAATTCTATCATTGGTTACCCCCTGTTTCGATTCAATTGCAAGAACGAAATTGAGATGAAAATCTTTTTTCAAACATATGGACAACGAATAAAAAATCTGCAGGATTTACACATGACCAATGGCGGGAGAGAATTAGCGAAACAAATAGTGACAGGACTGAAAAATAAAAAAAAAACGATAAAGATGAAAATGTAAAGAGAAGGGAAATTAAGTTTAGAAGGAGCGGGGTTTAAACGTGTGACAAGAAAAGAATGCAGAGTAGGAAAGGTTAAAGATGGTTGGGTCGTTTCCAAAGAAAAATGTTCATGGATTGGAAAATTAAGAGCACAATTTGGAAAGAAAAAAGGGGAAAAAACGAGTGCGAAGCGGAAGATTAAATTAACAAGTTCAAAACAACTGTGGTTTTATTGAAGAAACAGAATTTTCGTAATTGGCATGCACACAGTCGCACAAATACACGCATGCGCAAATATACACAGGAAAAAACGAAAGAAGCCTGTGATTGATCGATTAATAATATATTTAGAGTAAGATAATTAGGACCTCACAAATGTTTATAAAAGGATCTTATAAATGTAATCACCTGATAGATAGATAGATAGATAGATAGATAGATAGATAGATATAGATATGAACAGACTATGGATAGATAGAGAGATATGAATAGAGATAGATAGATAGATAGATAGATAGATAGATAGATAGATAGATAGATAGATATGGACAGACTATAGATAGATAGATAGATAGATGTGCATAAGCAATAAAAACTAAATATTACATACATTCATTCATATTATGCATTTTGGGAATCAACAGTTGGTAAGTTCGTCTGATGTTTGATATTCAAGGGGGCGCCATATTTGATAATTTGTGACTAGAATGTATATCACCTCCTTCTTCTTCTATATGCTGTGCCCCTTTAGGATATGGACGATCATGGTTCTCAACATTTTCCTCTCCAATCTTGCTCCCAGTAAAGTTTGTCATTTTACTATCTCTTCTAATCCCTGTTTCAGCCAACGCTTTACACAAATCCATCACGCGGGTTATACGCTGCTTTCTAATACCCTTTTTGCTTTCAATATATCCTGTGAGTGTCATATTCTCCCAACCTTTCTTCCTCCTTATGTATCCTAGAAATTTTAATTGTCTCTTTCTGATATACGTATAAGTGTTTTATTTGTTTTCCATTTTATCTAAAACTTCGTCATTTTACACACATCCAATCAAATGCATTTTCAGAATCCTTCTGTAGAACCACATTTTCTGACTCCAAGTCTCTTCCTCATCTGTGAGCTGATTGTACAGCATTCACTGTCATATAGGAGGAGCGATGTTAAATGAAATTAGTCTGTTTATACTTAACATTTGGAAGGCATCATTTTTTATACTAAGGAACCTTCGAATTTCTGTTTTTCCATTTTCCGTCTTCTGTTAAAACACTTCCTAGATGCTTAAACATTTTATTTGTTTAATTTTGGTATCTCCAATATATAATTCGTATGTTGAGCTGTTCTTTTTCGCTCTCAACCTTTTTAAAATTCTTGCTTATTAATCTTTATTTCGCTCTTTTCTTTACTATTTTCCGTAAGAATTCCTGTAGTTACTTTTTTATGGCACTCTTCCTAATGTTGCTAAGATTGTGGCCGCCAATCTTGAATCCTGGAAAGACTTCCGTTTGAATCGAGATTCATTCAATGTGAAAATATAATGTCTGGTGAGAAAACTCATCCTTGTCTCATGCCCATTTCTATTTTTGTGTATTTACTGAATTACAGAGTGGTAGTGTAAAAAATCAATCAGATAGATTTATAGTAACTCTACCAAATTTACAAAATGTCACTGTATTCATACATGCATACATTTATGTATGAATCTATGTATATATATATATATATATATATATATATATATATATATATATATATATGTGTGTGTGTGTGTGTGTGTGTGTGTGTGTGCATGTGTGTGCAACTTGTATAAATAGATAAAAAAAGAATATGATATATTGTATTTTTTTAGACAAGCAACTTGCTTAAAAGCATTGGTACTCAAATTTTATTAAATCTTAAGCAACACCACTACTGATGTCAGAGCGATTTAAATAAAGCAAAATAAAAGGAAAACCTGAAATGTAAAAGTAATTGGACAATCTTAAAAATGCGTTATTTTCTGTTGTATTCAAGAATTTTACCAATCCTACTAGCTTAGTTACAATGAAATCTCTTTCTTTTTTCTATTTATTAGTGTCTACCATAAAAACATTAAGCCTCTCAAGTACTTGTCAAAAAGGTTACTTATAAAAACATCATATATATATATATATATATATATATATATATATATATATATATATATATATATATATATATCGTTTTATAAGCAACTAACCTTTGTATATGTAACTAAAATTTTGATTAGTATATATATATACAGAGGGAGTCAGAGAGAAACTTTCCAGGTAATCAAGAGATATCGAAAGTTAGTACGTTACCTTAATGTTATACATAATGGTTACCAAGCTTGTCTCACTCGATCAATTACGACTGAGTAGTGAGTTGTATCCTGAGTGGGTACTCCACACTTTCGGCTTTGTTCTAAATCTAAGTTTCGCTTAGAAAATAATTTCTCCTCACTGGTTGCCCCTTACTTTCGACCTTGTGCCACATCTAAGCTACGCTTAGAAAATCACCATTATACGTTTCTGGTATTAGTATTAATAGCAGACCCACCTCTGATATTACGCGAGCTCAAATACTCATTTTTCTCATTCTTATTCAAATAATTGTGTAGAAATATTAGATAGATAAAATTAGAATAAGTTTTCAATCAGAATGAAGGAAAAGAAGAAAAAAAATTCAAAAGGTTTATGAATAACTATTACACAGAATTAACAGAAGTGAAAAACAAGGTAAAGAATGAAAGGAACGAGGAAAGAAAGAAAGAAAGAAAGAAAGAAAGAAGGAAGGAAGAAAGAAAGAAAGGAAACGACCGGTTAGATTCCGCCTCTCTTTTTCGTTCGTCGATTTGTGTGAGCCACTAGTGACGGTCTGGTGACAACGCAACCCAGCCAGCAATATAAACCAATACTTAGAAGGTTGAGAGAATATTTGCCATCGAAACAGGCGGTCGGTCGGGCGCCAAAATAGGCTGGCAGACAGGCACTCGTCCGAAGAAGGGAGAAAAAGGAAGTTGTAATACAAAGAAATAGATTAAATAAAGAACCTATAACAAAACTGTAAATTTAATACACACACACACACACACACACACACACACATATATATATATATATATATATATATGACAAGTGAAAAGAAAATGTAAAGAAAAGGGTCTGGGTTGGCATCAAGGAAAACACCGCTGTTAGTCATTAAAATTCGGGCGTTAGGAAAGAGATGGATAAAAAAAAATCTGGGCGTCACATAACGGCAGGACACCACAAGGCAGTACTTTAATTAAATCAAGCCATGGAAACGATGAATGGAGATAGGGGTTGTTCTGTCGATTTTAACGATAAGGCTCGCTAACGCTTGTACACGTGTTAATAGAAATATATGAAATATGTCTATGCTAGCGATATATTTTATTTGCGTATGAATGTTTACTCTCGCAGCAAATATAACCTACTTAAAATTAAAAAGAATATGAAAAAATGCATATCTTATATCGTATTCCAATAACTTTGGACACCTAGCGAAATGTATATGTTTCTGAAAAATCCAGTATTTTAAATTTCTTTCAAAAGTCTACATTTATCTATGTGTGCGTGTGTGTACAGCTTGTATAAATAGATAAAAAGTATATGATATATCGTATTTTTTTACACAATCAACTTGCTTATAAGCATTTGTACTCAAATTTTATTAAATCTTAAGCAACCCCATCACATATCTTATATCGTAATCCAATGACTTTGGACACCTAGAGAAATGTATATGTTTCTGAAAAATCCAATGTTTTAAATTTCTTTAAAATTCTACATTGATTTCCTAAATTTTTTCAACGGCCACATTATTATGATGAGTCAGAAATTATTCCCATTATGTTTTATGAACTTTATTATAAAACATAACGTATACAATTATATTTTTCCATCACACACACACACACACACACACACACACACACACACACACATATATATATATATATATATATATATATATATATACATAGATAGATAGATAGATAGATTTTCTCTATTATTAGAAACGGATTTTACGACTTATGAAACAGTTCTTCAATACTTTTTGAGTAAATTTCCTCAGGTTTTGATGTGAGAATATTATTGATAAACACTTGAATCTGGCCTTTATGAGGGAAAGTTTCCCCCATCAAGTCGTTTTGCCTGATATCGAAAAAGGTAATAATCAGTTGCTTCAATGTTAAATGAATATGGCGACTTCAGAAGCACAAACTAACCGAGGTTCATTTTTCTGTCGTGTGTTATTTTTGCTACATGCTTCATTGTATTGTCGTGAAGGAAAACTTTTTCTTTTAATCCACTGTGTAAACTGCTATTTCTATGCGAAACCTCAGGTAGGTTTACATACTGCAAATGTATTAATAATTCCCGCATATGATGAGTAGTTAGGGTGGTACATACGTCTGGAGAATTGCTTAGAAAAGCTAAATTATTTATGACTCATCGTAATACAGTATAATTGTGCAAGAATTCAACGATGTTTTTTTCTTTTAAATTTAAGATTTAATTAGGTAAACATCTATTTACCTCTGTATTCATGAGTATCTACTATAAAGACCACACACACACTGTTTTAGCAATGATCCGCGAAACCTTTCTTTTCATCATTACCGAATGGCAAGTGGTAAAATAGATATTTCATAAGCATACGTGCATCTAATAGAGAGTGTACTCACTCAACTAGCGATTGATCAAACTGCTGGAGCTGTTAAACATATCTCTATGGCAGGGTGCTCATATGTAACTCCCACACACTCACACACCTAAAGGAATCGTTGAACTGAGTTCAAATTTTGGCTGGAGTAGTTACTGTTCCTTTGCTCTTGGGAAATACACACATACATCAAAGAAACGCGACTACTCTGAGAAGTAGCACAAATATTCTAGAAAATAAAGTTATTTATCCATGATAAAATAATAGATAAACTCTTGCCCCAATACGTTGTAATAAAAATAAAGAAGCAAAACGAGAATAGCAAAGACAAAAATAAATCAATGAACAAACGACTGAAAAATGTATATAAAGGAAAATGTAGTGATTTTTTTATAAATGATATCGTTTAATATTACATTTTAAAAAACTATGAATAATCTTGTGTATCACCGAAGAATCACTTCAATCAGGGCAATCTCTGTAAAAAGTCTAATCAGAAAGTATTGGCATTGGTGCTATATATATATATATATATATATATATATATATATATATATATATATATATATATATATATAAACTGCAACATACATCAATTCGGCATTTAATCTCCTTCAAGTAGTTCCCTGCTGAAACCGTTCATTTTATACAGCGTCATTTCCATTGATGAAAGCATTGCTGGAACTCTTTTTTGGGGGATAGCGAGCAGTTGCCTCGTCGCATTCAATTGGATTTTCACAACGTCTTGAAATCATGTTCCTTTAAAATAGTATCTGATTTTTGAAATGGAAAGAAAACAAAAGGTGCGGTATCTGGGGAAGATGGTGGTTAACGGACATTCGTTATAGTTTAATATTTGAGTAAAAATTGCCGCACAAGCCATGGTAACTGATGGAAATTTGTGATGTGGTGAGACGACCACACTCTATACACTTTCCTTCCAAACAATGCTATAAAGAATGGAAGTGAGTGAGAACTTTGTAACTTAATGTGCATGCGCGACTGAGTTTAAGGCTAATCTGTGACTAACGACTTATCTCTGCTTACCTCAGCCCCGTTACGTTAGCAACAGTCACGATAATTTTTTATTAGACTTCGTATTTTTTTTTATTTTTTCAGCGAATTTCCCCCTTTAAAAGGCACGGGGCCCACTCGCGGTAGACATTCGTTCGGAGGCGATTTGTTTGTATAGGAGTAGGAGGTACTGGTTAACCCTGGCCTTGAACAGGTTAAGATTGTACTGATCTGGGAAACATTTCGTTGGGAGTCGGTTCCGCAGGGAAGAGGTTCGCAGGAAGGAAATACTAAAATAATTGTATTTGTAGATATGTAAATAACTGTATTTGTTAATAATTAATGGATCATTTCATATGCAATAGCTTAAACGGAAGTATATATGTATATATATATCGAAATAAAAGTATAAAATTTAATATTACAAGACATATTAAAACAATATTAAATAATAAAAAAAAAACAAAAAAAACTCAACAAGGGGGTGGGGAAGCAACCGGTTTAGCTCCCGCTCGTCAGCCTTCCACGGGAGATTCAATATTAAAACAGAGAAATGTACAATGCGAATAGGTGTTTTTTTTTTTTTTTTTTTTTTCCACCTATTCCACCTTTCCGTTAAATAATATATTGTAAACATTTCTAATACAAACAGATATTAGCAAGTGGAATTCATAGATTATTTTTGTGCACCAATAAATTAATGTACATAGAATTACGCAATAAAATATCACATAATCTCTACTAGCTTGTGTTCCCTATATGTAAATGTTAAAATAATAAACATATTACAAGGGGAAATGCGTAAATTCATACAGACTTTTCTTATTATTCCTTCTCATCATTAATATTTTTCATATATTTGTACGATTTAACGTATTAACGTTTATATTTGCGAACTAGTTGCTGTATTCAAGTGAAATATTTCTTGAAACAATGCGTGCACAATAGCAAGAAATCAAATGAAAAGGCAAATGGAAATGAAAAATTACTTACTGACATATCAATATATTACGATTCAATATGTGTGTGTATTTCTTACTACTATTGCTATGAGATATATATATATATATATATATATTGAGAAAATTGAGTAGTACAAACAGTCAATTGCTGATTTCTCCTGAGGAATGGACGAGGCCATCGCCATCATCGGAGGGTCCGTCTATGAAACTCTGGGCTCAGGATGCTGAGACTAACATCGATCAGCTAAGTGACAAACCTATCACTTATATATGTACACACACACACACACACATACATACATACATACATACATACATACATACATACATACATACATACATACATATATGTTATACGTCTGTTTTTATATTGTAAAACTTTCATCTACCATACTGGAATTTTTCGAGTGTCTTTCAAAATGGAAAGATACCATTTTGCAAATTTGGAATTTACATGACTAAGACACACACACACACATATTTATATATATATATACACACACACACACACACACACACACATATATATATATAGAGAGAGAGAGAGAGAGAGAGGGAGAGAGAGAGACAGACAGACAGACAGAGAGCGAAAGAACAGAAATATCATTATAATATAAAAAAATAATGTGCAGTACACCTTGCAAGAAAAGACTTAATATACAGCGTAACCCGGATGTAAGAGAGTTGTCGGGACCGGAGAAGAAGTCTCTTATATCCGGGTTTCTCTTATATCCGGGTTTGGTCTATTTTATATACATTAACACAGGCTCTAATTTGGGACCAGAGAAAATCTCTCTTATATCCGGGTTTCTCTTATATCCGGGTTTCTTATATCTGGGTTACACTGTACTAAAAGTTATTATCAGAGAAAATAATCAACCTACATTAAAATAACAAAATGCAGTGAAATAATACGTATAAATATTTCAAACATAAATTTACAGCGTAATTTTACTTCATGTCACAAAATATGGCGCAGTGGATACTGAGATATATTTTTCACGTATTCAGAAGGCAACTTTCGCATTTGATAATTGTAGGAGTAGGGTTTTGTCAGATAGAGGCATAACCAGCAAGAATAGGGTAAGTGTGTCTATGGTCTGTGTCTTTACGTCTCTGAAACATAGACAACATACTGAAAGCATATAAAATGGCTTGAGTGATTCCACCAAAAATACTTAAGACTCCTGCTTAATATCAAATGTTGGTCTTTGTTTTCAGAATCTTTTGTTCTCCAAAGGTCTGAATGCAACAGTATTGAAACAATACTAATCATTAACCATATACGAAGGACACATGAGAATGAGGTATAAAAGAATTACCAAACAACTTTTTTTATGTCGAATTGAAGACATACAAACGCCCAAAACACAAGCCTAGGAAGAGGTTTAAAGATAATCTGAAGGATAATCTTAATGCATTGCATCACGATGTAAAGCTTTGCGAAGAAGTGACTTTAAATCATACGATAGGATGCAACGCTTTTAAGGATGAATATCTCCGAAAAGGCACTCTGATTTGCTAAATAATATGCAATGTGTCTGTAATGAGATGTGTGTGAGCGCATGCTGTTGTCGAGGGCATGATATGTAAACCATCTGAAAAGATAATAAACAGATGTAAGCCAACTATGTCTCATCGTCGTGCCGACAACACCTGTGTTGTTTGCAACAAGGTTTGGAAATCATCTTCTAGAATGAGAAGGCACATGATGGTGCAAAGGACTAATGTATGGCAGGCAGATACAATAAATCGAATCAAGGATACAGAATTTATGTGTCATATATGTATAATGTTTATGGAATCGAATGCTGATCTCTAAAGTGAACTTAGGGCCTATGAACACCGAAACGAGACAGAAGCCATTGCAACTGATAAGAAGGCTGAAGAGGCGGTTCTCATCTGAGTAAAATGTGACAATCTCTCTCTCTCTCTCTCTCTCTCTCTCTCTCTATATATATATATATATATATATATATATATATATATATATATATTTGTGTGTGTGTGTGTGTGTGTGTGTGTGTATATATATATAAGATATTTTACATTCAGTAAACTGGTCAGTGGAACAAATAAGTACTGTTTAAAATAAGCGGGGCTTCTATTCAAATAGGGTATCAACTAAAAAATAACGTTTGAAGCAAGAAAAAAGTCGGATTAAAAAAATAAATTCCATAAATTATTTAGAAATTGGTTTGTTTACGTCTCGGATACAAAATTGAGTTGAAATGCATTTCGGAAAAATCTGAGCAAATCAGTGTGCATCAAAGAGAAAATATAACGCTGCTTTATTGTGACACTCTTCGTAGCCGAACGGTCAACACACGACGGATCAGATAATGGTACCGCCTGGAAAGGGGCAGACAGGTTCGAATTCTGCCGGTGGGTACATTTTCTTTATTAAATTTTCTCTGGTACGCCTCGCTGCTAGATGAAATAAATACCCTTTAAAATAAATTGAGCGTCTGTTCAAATTTAGGACGGGTATCCATTTAAAATAACGTCTAACACACACACACACACACACACACACACACACACACACACACACACACACACACAAACATACATATATATATATTAAAATTCCCTGCTTATTTCCTGTGATATTTGACTACAGTGAAAAGAAATATTTAGAGTGTGAATGTCATGTTGATTATAATACCAATCATAGATGTAGAAAAGATGAAAAGATTTCGACATTCTGAAGTTGTCAATCGCTTGAGAGTTCAAGCCAAGATCTTCCAGTCTCAATGCCTCCGCCTCCGCCTGTCTGCTTGTCTCATCTTTTACACAAACTGACACGCATTGAAACACACACAAAATCACATAAACACAAAGGCACACACACACGCACTCTCTCTCTCACTCACTCACTCACTCACTCACTCTCTCTCTCTCTCACTCACTCTCTCGCACACACAAATGCTCTGACATGCGAAACCTCAAGCAGAAGAAACACTATATTCACCGTACCAGCTTTGGAATTTATTACTCCACCTTTTGCATTAAACGTTTCTGATTTGGGTTGCATATATTCACACATCTACTTAATACACACACACACACACACACACACACACACACATATATATATATATATATATATATATATATATATTAAGAGGTAGGCAATTCTAAAGCCGGTTTAGGCACACTGTTCTCTTTAGAATCGCCTCAGTTATTCTTGGGTTTGATTCTGGAAGCGTTTTTTTTTTTAATTTTGCTCCATGCTGTGATTATGGAATACTGAAATTCTTCTAGATTGATTGTACACACAGTATTAGAATCTCTCCTTCCACTGTATTCCAAAGGTGAATGATGGAATTGAGATCTTCTGACTGTGACGCCGCTTTAATACTTATTATTATTATTAAGCATATTGCTGCGTTCCACGAAATAAACTGTCATTGTTTTGATCTGAGAGATGATGTGTTCTCCTGTTGGACATAGCCAAAAGATGCACCACAATCATAAACTGGAGCACATTATCGGCCACGATGCCTACCTAACGTGAGGTATGTAAAGGATCTTTTTTCTTTATACCAAGGCTCCCAATATAAGACAAAAATATCCCTCTACCATTTCACCTCCAGCAGCAGTCTAGATTGATACATCCATGATACATCCATGTTGTTTACGTTAAATTCTATTCAATCCCTCTAAAAGGTGCAGCAGAAGTTCAAACACTTCACATCAGACAAAGCTTTTTCAAAAATTATATACTAATTTTTGTGCGCCTCAACAAATTTTATCTTGTTCTTATCTGAGAGGAATTGAACCCAGCGTAATTTTCTGCTGGTCTAGGCGGCAGGATTTGACGTGTTGTGCGTTCAGAGGTACACTTCTGTATCTCCAATCCTGTAAAGAATGGCAACTTTCATTTCTATCAGCTTGAGGATTCTTCTCCGGCCTCTTTCATTGATGATTCTCGCTCATTTTCCCTGGATATTCTCTGTAAGCACCAGAGATGTTGGTTCAAGAACATTATATTAGATCAACTATTTTTTGAAATACTCAGATCCATCCGCCTGGCAACACCATCTAAGCCGTATTTAATGACACTAAAATACCCTTTCTTACCTGTTCTCAGTCATATAAATTAAGTTCATATATGCCAATAAATAATTATTTATTAATAGATATATTGATTTACTGTGGATATGAATTTATTCATTGACGTGTTCCATTCGTGCAAAACAGAATGAATAATGGGATTTTCTATTTAACAATATTACTGAAAACTGTTCCAATACTGTGGTGTGTAACAGGGTGCTGTGGCGACTTGCTGCCTCTTGAAGTCTTGAAGTGGGGACAACTCGTACTATACAAAACAAAGTCAAAATTTCTTTCTGAAATATTAAGAATATTGAACGTCCTATAGAACGTAAGGAAAGAGACAAACCATCATTGAAATTATACGAACTAGAGTAATTCTAAAGGAATAGGAACACTGAGAATTTTCTGAGAGAAAGGAAAAGACTTGTCATCATTTCATCTCTTATGAGTGCCGTTAGATGCCAAAGTTTCTAATTTTAAGCATACTTTTCAATTCGCCTGCAAAAGGAAGGGAATAACTGAATATTCTAAGCAGAATTAGGATTTTTCTATTTGACAATATTACTGAAATCTGTTGGAATATTGTGGAGTGTAATGGGATATTGTGGTGCCTTTTTTCCTCTTGAAATCTCTCGGTGATACCTGGGAGCATTTCGTATTACGCAAAACTAAGGCAAAACTCAAAGTAATAATAATAATTATTATTTTCTAAGTGTAAACTTTATGTTCTATATTAACAAAACCATATTAATTATGATGAATTTTAAAAAAAAAGCTTGTCAAAGAAGTGAAAACATCTAGAGCCTGAAGATGACCTTTACCGTTAGGGCTCGCCATGAATTTTGTTTTAAATCATTAGACCTCCAAAAAGTAAATAAGACACTAGCACGCAAGTAATTACTGAGTTTTATTAAGGAGGGAGGACTACTATTAAAGAGAGAGAAGAATAAACGAACAATAATTAAGAAGACAAAATATATCGATTGACATTGCATTTAAACTTTTGAAGATCAAATTTAACTGGGAGGCATGAATCCGGAATAGAATTCCACAAGCGGGTAGTGCATTAGAAGATACTGTTAGCATAGAACTTACGGTTTCATCAAGCCATTTCAACCACGTCGGTGGAGGCGATTCACCCACACCCCTTTCGTCTTCTATTTGTAAGGAGGTACTGTTCAGTGTTGAGACAGTCTCAAAGAACATTTCTGAAACATTAGTAGGATTGTCAGTCCTATGAAAGTCAGAAAAAATTCAGGTGACAACGATATAGATGTTAGAAAAACTGTCCTTTCAACTAAAGGCCGTCAGTTGCTACTTGTGTGATAACTAATACCGTAGAGATAATATCAATGTAAGTGGAAATAATACTACTAATAATATTATTTCATCTTTTATGAGCCCTATTGTAGGACATAGATGATCATAGCTCTCCACAACTTCCTTGATTTTTAATCTGAAATCATTTAACCCTTACCGCTCTTTTCAGTTTTTTCTTTCTCATTACTTCATTTAAAATCATCAAGTAAATTGCACCCTCTTTACTCTTTAATTTGTTTCAGTTTTATATGTCAGTTTTAAATTTTCCTATGCCTAATTCCACATTATATTTTCCAGATATATCAGGTTTCTTTTTTCAGATTGGTAGCAGCAATATACTTGTAGTTCTAGTTCTCCTTAAAACTACATTTATTACTCACCGTTTCTGTGTAATCAGCATTCGTTGGTAAAACCAATTCTTAATCCCCTTAAGGTTTTTCTTAATCTCAGTGAAGATTGTCCAGCATTCACTGCCAAATCGGAGACTAGATATCACATTGGAATTGACGTATATGTTCATTGTTTCTAAGAATATGCTCCTATCTATTAATACTTTACTTAGCTTCTGAAAATTATTTTCGATATTAATACTACTATAAAATGTGCAGAATTTTTAAAGGGTTCAAATGGATCTTTAAAACCACCGCAATGAAACAGATGCAAATATCAACTCAAATCAGCAAGAATAGTGAAAAAAATGTTAGAAATTTGAGGAAACTCTCATTTATTCCTTCAGTGATTACAAATATATATATATATATATATATATATATATATATATATATATATATATATATAAAACTTTCAAATAATATATATCATTGCATTCTTGCATTTCTGTCTGCATGTATATAGTCACGAATCTAAAACCAGTAACGAAAAGAATGGTTAAATCTATTATATCCAACTTTGCATTTATATAAAAACATTTGACTTTTTTTCTCCGTCCGCTGGACTGTATAAGTCATGCTTCATGGCGATGGGTGGCTTATACCCTACAGCAAGACGTTTACACGTTGGAGCGTAAGGGACGGTTTACGATTACTTACTCTCAGTTACATGAGTTAATCAGCGCACCTTGCTTCAATTGCTGAGCGTGGATAACGTTTCGTATCGCACACCATTTTCCAAACAAGTCTAAGTAAGCAGAAAACTTAGCTAATTGACACTTTCGTATCAATTTCCTTTCTTGGGTTTCTCTCTGAAAATACAAGGTGATTCAAATGTAGCGACTGATTTCTGGTGTTAATGCTACCAGTTGATTGTTTGCATATCATTTATATTGGGCACTCTGCGAGAAGGTATTATATTCTCACACATGAAATGATGTATTTTTTGGTTAATTGCTGATCCGGTTGTCTAACGCAGTATTCTTCTTAGTATATAAAAACATTCCTGAATATTTTTCTTTCAAGGTCATTTTTCTTTCAATATATTGTTACGCACAAGCCAAATGAAAATGATTATAATGGAACATGATGAGTAATCTTACTTTATGAATACAAACTGGGAAAAAGAATCATTTTGCATCGAATCATTGGATGTGATGAGAAATGGATAATTTGACAACAGTAGGCTAGAGGTTTGATCCAAGTGAATCACCAAACCAATACCAAAAACTTACTGCACCCTAAAAGGTTAATGGTTACTGTATGGTGATCTTTCAAAGGGGTTATTCATTATTCATTCTTGCTTCAAGGGAAAACAATAATAGGAACTTGGTATTTTGGAAAAATTGAATGTATGCACGGAAAATTGAAAAAAAAAAATAAACATCCTAGACTTGAGACTAGGGATGGTCCACTTTTACTTCACGACTATCCAAAACTACATAGTCTGAATTATGAAATTTCACCTCATCCTCCATATTCACATCATATCTCTCCTACTGTTTATCACTTATTTAAGCATTTTGAGCGTTTCATACGCAATAAACATTCCCCAATAAGAAGAGATAATTGAAGCATTTGAACATTTTATAACATCAAAGGATGAGAATTTTTTAAAGATGAGATCAAAGATTTAGAGGTAAATTTGAGAGCATTCATTCATCGACACAGTTCCTATTTCAACTGAATAAATTAGTTATTTAACATTTCAGAAGCGTTTAATTCTTTTCCGATAAAGTGCATCATTTCACGTATGACAACTTAATAGATATCGATGAAAGACATTTTTATCTAACAATTTATTCGGGGAAAATTACTAAGAACTTATGCCAAGCTGCTTTACGTGGAATGTCCCAACTCTTTTTTAATGCACAATGACATTCGAAAAGGCCCAGAGTGATACACGTGACCACTGAGCTCAAAATTTGCAGTATGTAAAACCTTTAATTTCTGTATGGTACGAGGCTTTTCTCTATAAGTGATACTTTTCGGGAGCCCCAGAGAAATAAATCTGAAGTTGTTAGATGTATAGAGAGTGCCAGCCACCGAATCGAAACGTGGGAAGTCTAATCAAGCTATTGATTAAACAAAAACAAAATAACTAAATGAATTAATCATTTTCAAAACAAATATTAACCCTATGATTTCACAGAATCTGGACGATACCCACCAGGTACTCTCCTCTAGACCAAGGATGTTTTATATGTTTCCTCCTCTCTTTTTGTTAACGAAAATAGAAAAACAAATATACGAATGTAACCCCGAAAAGGATGATTTCATGCTATGAGTGTTCTATTATATAATCATTGACAAAGCTGTGACTGCCAATCAATTTGCCATCATTGGAAATGTATAAAACAGCCATATTTGTGCGTTTCATTAAAAGGGAAAAAGAAGGTTACACTTGGCAATTCAACTTTTATAGTTTGTCGTAGAAATCGATGTATTTTGTAATATTAGGCATTTGATGATATAGAAAAACACGGAAGCATATTTATTTGGGTAAATATATTTGGAATAGCTTCAGGTTAACCAATCATTTCGTAGTCCATTTAAGAGAACATCATGATTATAATTTTTCATTTTTTAACTATCTACGATTATTTCCTCATAAGTCAACTTTATTATAATGTTTTATTTTAATGTAGACAACTATCTCATGAATGTATAACAAATTTCAACCTTTTCCCCAATCATTTTTACACGTGCACAGATAAATATGAACATATGCAAATTATCATAGATTCTCTCTTCTAAAATATATTTATATGTATGCATATATATATATATATATATATATATATATATATATATATATATATATATATATATATATATGTGTGTGTGTGTGTGTCTATATATATGCACACATATATATGCATACATATACACACACATATATATACATACATTTATATATATATATATATATATATATATATATATATATATATATATATATATATATATATATATATATATATATATATATATATATATATATATATATATATATATATATATACATATATATATATAGATAATTACATATACTTATTTGTGTGTGCAGGCTTCTTGGTACTTATAGAAAAGGCATACATTTGTATTAAAATATGAAATTTTATTCATATTCAATTTATATATATATATATATATATATATATATATATATATATATATATATATATATATATATATATACAGAGTCAGTGATTGAGAGATGCATAGAAACATGCCGAGAGATACAGGAAATAGTTGAATATGTGTCTTTCTGGGAGCACACATTTATTTGTGTGTTCCAATTTTGGAAATTGCAACAGGCCGAGAATATTTAACGACATCTCATATATTTCTATATGTATGTATATATGTAAGTATATATGTTTGCATGTGTATACATATTCGTGTGTGTGTGTGTGTGTAGTATGGGGTATAACTTATTTCTCTTCCATACTACACACCTGCAGACACACATGCACAGACACACACAGACACATATATATATATATATATATATATATATATATATATATATATATATATAATCTATTTATGTATTATCTTTATGTTTACCTTTTCTTACACGTCTTTAAGAATATTTTGGCTGATCATAAATTAAAAGATTCATATTTTTCATCTACTTTACTTCTGCTTAAATACAAATACCCAAATTCGCCACGTTTGGCATGGATGAAGTCCCTCTGTTGTCAAAACACTTTGGAAAAATGATTTCGTTTTGTTGTAATCTATATTATCTATACAGATACATTTCAATTATATGTGAATTTTTACACACACACAAACATATACACATAAGAAAATCTTCGAAGGTTTATATTTCATTTTTACCCGAAGAAAACTCCTACCGAAAACGAAATGTTCGTGTGTCTTTAGCCATAACTACATAATGAGAATTTTTTAATAACTACATAATCGTTGCCACTATTACACTGTACGAGACATGGTAACTTATATATGTTCCCGTAAATCCCACCAAGATTGCTAAGTTACATCAAGACTGGGCAACTAGTTCTGGCAACGTTCTAAGTCACTGTAATTCAGTTTAACTTACTCTGTACATTTGGCATATATATATATATATATATATATATATATATATATATATATATATATATATTATGTGTGTGTGTGTGTATATATATATATATATATATATATATATATATATATACAGGAAATCCAGTTCATATATAATTCAAGCGAATCCTATTAATATAATGTAAAATATAATATTAAAACGGATTCAAAGATCTCAATGTTTTATTCAAACAGAGAATGTAAATAGAAAACAAAACAATAGGAATTTTACATATATATATATATATATATATATATATATATATATATATATATATATATATATATATATCAAACTTAAGACCCAGCTCAATATACACATACACATTATAAGCAATAGTAATTAGGATTACTTTATAATATTGCTGATGATATTTCACCTTGTAAATTAAGATTAAA